GAATAAACTTCAGAAAGAAAAAAATCCAAATATTAGTATTAAAATATGTTTTTTAAAACAAAAAAGTTTAAATCTACAGAGAAAGATACTCTCATAAAATGCTTAGAATAAAAAAAGGGGAAATTGATATCTAGGCATGTTGGAAGGACACGTTAGAGGGGACGAATAATCTCCTGTCATCTTAGAAGTTTAGGTTATTTTCTCCCTATAAATGAGCAACTACACTTTAATTTATTCTATTCCAAAAGCCAGTATCACAAGTTTCAACTTTTGTAATAAAAAAATATTTTCAATATGTGTTTCACAACCAAAATTTTATGAAGGATTGCAACTTCTATATTTTTGAAAAGTAGTCTTGAAATTCATTATTTTATTTGAATTATTTTTAATTAGCACAAATTTATCAGTAATATACATATGAAAACTAATAATGTGCAATTTAAGTTCTGTGCGAAGTATCCACATTTTGTGGGTCCTTGAAACCACACAATTGGTTGATTGCAAAATGTCTGCTTGTCTGTGGTCAACCCTATCACCTACACTGTTCAGACCACTTTTTCCCAAACTGATATTCCCAAATCGATCTTGATGAACTTGGGGCCCTACAAGTTTAAAATGGATTTTAGTTTTTTGGGGCTTATTAAATGAAGTCTCAACTAAAATGTTCAACACTTTCTAAAAATGCCTCCAAATATTTTGATTTAACCCTCTCCATAGTGAGAGCAAAATGCACTTAAAAAATGGCTCAGGCCTCATTTTTGTTTACTCTCTAAATTTTTGAAAATTGCAAATGATCAATATCTTTCAGCGTCTTCCTACAACTGCAAAAGTGAAGTTAAACTTTTTTCTTAATGAATATACGTCCTTCCAAGACAGGTCTTTAAATAAGGTCATGTACAATTTTTCAAACATTTGAGTAATTATTGAATAATTCATTAAATATTGATAGTTTTTAAAGTTATTATCTCTAAAATAGCTCCAAATTTTTTCCTCGGCTGAAGCATGAGATGTTTAAAAAAGTGGCACAGGACCCATTTTCGACAAACTCTTTTTATGTTCGAAAATTTCAAAAGTACAATATTAATATTAGGTATTTTTTTCTTTAATGAAATCTGTTCTAAAAAATATATTTTTAAATAAAACTGCATACAATTTTTTTGAAAAACAAGTGAATTTTATGTATTTCTTAAATTAATGCAATTTATAAAAAAGTGTTCTCAAAAACAGCTCCAAAGTTGTCTTTTACATATTTTCCTCCGATATAGTAAAGGGCACATAATAAAATAGTGCATATCTTATTTTACTGAATTCTCTAAATTTGAGAAAATTTGAGAAGAATGAAATTGGTAAGTAGATAAAAATTGAACTTGAGAACCAGTTGATATTTCATGAAGTATTTTTAAAAGATGTAGAACTAATTAATCCTTTATTCTCCACATTGTCTACCTCACTACAATCCAGTTACAAACTCATAACAAGACCATACTTTTCCTAATTATGGCAATTCAGATTTATTATTCCAACTTTTAAATGAGTCTTCCCTAACTGATTGAGTATCATCCAAACTTCTGAAAAATAGTTAGCACTCACAAATGAATAAATTTACATTATAAATAGTATGAAATTTAAAAAAATGCCCAAGAAATGTATTAATACAGTAGTAAAGGTGCCATGATTCACAATAACTTAGCTACATGTGTATCACTTTCGTCAAAAGTTTTTGAGAAGCTAAAAAGATTAAAAATATATCTAAAAGTACAGTGCTGAAAGTGCTGAAAACAGTGCTAAAACTACAGTACAGTACTCAGGCACCCGGGGTACCTACTACTGGGTTAATAAGACAGCAGTTATGGAAAGTTAAGTCAGTCAATTGATTCAATGAACCATAATTACAACTTGGTTTATTTCAACTCTGTGTTCAAGTAATGTTTTTGAAGTGAATGGAAGATCACATTGGAAGAAGAATTCAAACTTTAATGCATTATCAAATTGGTGCAATTCAAATTTGATAATGTACACAAAACTTTTTTGAAGTACGTAAAAAGTTGTTTTACTTCACACTTCACCTTCATGATGAATTAAACGTCGATGTTGCTTTCGATCCATCATTTCTTCGATGCCTTGCTGCTTTGATTAGCTTACCATTATCTTGGACATGTGTTCATACCAGCCTTTTTCTCTATTCTTATTACTTTTAATATGTCCGTCACTCCACACTCTTTTCTTACATCTTGATTTTTTATTCTATTGTATAGAACTTATCCCATCTTGTTTTACCAGTTGTTGCTCAATGGACTCATCTTAAAGTTGTAAGAAGAGTTTTAAGATCTTCTAGTAACATCCTATGATCTTACTACAAAGAAAATATGAAATCTTATAATATAGAGCAAAATCTACAAGAAAATATAAAACCTTATAATAAAGAGCAAGATCTGTAACAAGTTGCATGTTTCTTAACTTAAAGAACAGGTGACGTTTTAACCTCAAACTAAAACCATCTGCAAAATGAAAATGTATAGTCCCTTCTAAATCAGGGATTCCCAACATTTTCCTTGCATCAACCCCTTTTGAAACAATAATTTGCTTCATCGACCCTTTCGGTATTATTATATAATATTCAGCAAATAACACATTCATAACACAATTTCATATAAATTCCTTCCACACTAACAAAATTAATATACAAAGAATAAATTAGAATCAAGAGATCCATTGAGAATCAAAAGATTTTAAACTAGTAGTGCTACAGAATGGCATAGACTTTCGTATTAGTTTTCTATTTTCTTTGGTCAGGGATAGCTATTCTGACTTGCCCCATCCTCTTACCACTTGCCATTATCGCAGCCCAAAGTACATTTTTTTGAAAATTTCTCAACTTTTCTGTTTTCTAATAGTAGAACCGAATTATTACTTTAAGAATATTAAAGAAAAGTCAAAATTCATCCTAAATAGCAATTTTATTGAAAAATTTGGAGCAGTTTTTAAGAAAATGCTGCTACTGTGAATGTGAAACTTGAACCTCTTTTCATAAATAACTATTGAGTTTTCCAAAAACTTCATCTGAAATCATTTCAAGCACTTCCAGTCTCAAATGCAATAGTGTTTAGAAATTGGTAGAAATGTGAATATTAAAGACACGAGAGATGTTTAAAAAAAATTACATTTGTGAAATTTTTGAAAAATTAAAGGATACAGCACCTTAATGGATTTTGGACAACAAATTTCATTGAAAGGAAAAATCTCTCTTTAATTTTGTAGTTGTAGGAAAGTGCTGTAAAAAATTCAAACTTTTGCAATTATTGAAAATTTAGAGTTAACAGTGGAAATCAGATCTTTGCCACCTTTATGTGTGTATTTTACTCTACTCTTACCAGAAATTAAAAAAATAATTTGGAGCCGATTTTGAAAATAAATGAATAATAAACACTCTTCATTGAGAGCTTCTGAGATGAAAAATACACACCTTACTGGCTTACCGCTTGCTGACTGTTTCAACGCACAATGCATCACAACCCAGTACTATGACTTTCTGATACACTTGCATGACCTTGAGCAATGCGTATCTGGTAACCATTTTCAACGCAGGGCACAGAGATATGTGAAACCATGACTGTACACCTTACCAGCTTCAAAGTTGGAGAGGAAATTCTCCAAAGGCTTATGCCTTGAGACAAGCGACCCCAAAGTCGAATTCTATGCTGATAGCTGAAGCCCCTCATTCAATGTCCATCTGCTACAACTAAATCATGTCACAGGGATAGGGAACTTAAAACAAGCTTGCAGATACAATCATTTCATTAAGAACATTTTGTGTCTCTCTGCTAATGGAATTATTAATTCACAAGAATTACGTTTCATAAATATTTTTCCCCCTGCAAAACATGAAAAACTGTTGTCTCCGCATTGGAGAAGTTGTTTCATGCTGTGTAAAATGCCATTTAACTTCACGGGCTGGAGAAATTCTCCAGTTAAGGCATGTTTCAAGCTTGTATGGGTTCCGGTGTGGACAGATTTTTACTGTATAAGATTGTAGGTTTAAGATTTTCCTTCCTGAATTAATTCTCGAATTGGCCAAGCCACATATAGAATGAACAAAATTTCCAACTGGAATGCACATATATAATACAAAGGCAACTGGCAATTGAAGAGCAAACTAGGTAAACTTGTTTTTCAGCTTTAACAATAAAGAAATGTTTGCACTAATATTTCAATAAATTTAATTAAAACTTGTTCTAGCAGGCCTAAACAATACTAAGACATATATGATCAAAACATATTGAGTTCTAGGGATAACTTCATTTTTGATATTCAAAAGGCACAAACCTTGCTTGTCAAAGGGTTAATATTTTCTTGGAAAGAACAATTCTTAACTATACACAGATTTGGCATCAGAAGAATTGCTCAGGATATGGATATTAACTCTGTGCTAAATAACAATAAATTTATAAAAACTGAAAATAAACCTCAAATGATTTCAATTAGCAACTCACTTTGTTATTATTCAACTATGGTCATCTTGTTAAATGGATAATTGTTAGTTTAATTCAATATAAACATGTCTATCGCTTTAAGAAATAATTTGAAATAAGGATTAATTGATAGGATTTGAATATTTCTTCCATGTGAATATATTTACAGTATACAAATTAATGGTTTTGACCTTTTTATTGGAAAATTACCAGCAGAAAAAGTTAAATGTAAATGCAATAGACTGTTTGGAAAGTATTCTTCACCTATAACCTCACCAACGCTTTCCAATCGTGACTGTAAATAGAGCACAAGATAACCTTTACCAACCATAACTGAAAATTGTCTTGATGCAACTTTTCAAATTCTATTCTTCACTAAACTTACAAGTTATTTTTAGAGAAGGTCTCCATTCCACATATACATCCAAGTTAGGAGTTCCAGTGTTAGAAATATCAGAAGTTTTCATAATTATTAAAATGAGTTTTGGCTCTTCTCTGAGGACCCAAAGGGATTCAAATCAATATATAGTGTTTTCATAAATTATTCATCAGTTTTATTTACAAGTGAATGGTAACACAAGAACAATATCTCAACTTCACTTTTTCACATGCAAAAACAAACCTCTCACAAGGTTCCACATCCCCAATGGAAACTGGCTTAACAAACGCCTCAGTCATCTTTTCAAAAAGGAATACAAAGTGGATAAATTAAGGAGAGGTCTTGCCGGGCTTGGGGATAACAAAATTCCAAGAGATTGATTTCAAACACAATGTCCAGTGCTTACAACACATTTTATTGATTCACAGTTGGCTTCTAAATAAGGAAAAATTGAAAGAAATTGAAGGGATGCATGTTAGATTACTCTTCTGACAACATTAAACACTCTTGAAAAGAGAAATATTATGTCACGCTCCTATATCAAAAACAATGCATGGTAAAATAAGGTATACAAAAATCTATTCCTCAAGAACTGAGGTGTAGGAATATGCACAGCCTTAGTGTATAAAGCTGAGATGATTCTCACACTAACACGTTTCATTGTCAGCCACACCGTAAGTTTATTCATAAATTGATATGACAAGCAAACTTCAAAAATAAAACACAAATGCACGGTGTGACATTTAACACACTTTGCTAAAAGCAACAGTCTTTAAAAATATACCTTTTGCAGTCAAAATCATTTCATCAATGCGCTTATTCACAAAAATCGAAACATTCACCTAAGAGTTTTCACCCACTCAGCAAACTTTCCTTAACACAAAGAAAAGTGGAGTCCATTGCTCAACTGTATCAGACAAATATAAATTGTGAAGCGACACTGGAGAAAATTACACCTGTATATAAATAATCATCACACATGGAGGCACAAATAATTTACAATTGACATAATGTTCTATTTTCATTTCCTAGAAGATATTTTAAGTCTTCAACAAAATCAACATTGTACATAATTCACTAATAGCAATGCTGGAAGGGGATAATGACACCGGAATCTATCTCTTCCCCAAAATGAAACTTAACTCGTTTCTGTTGATTACAGTATCACATGTGCCATAAAACTTTGCAGGAAATTATAAAATATAAAATTCAACGAAATATGTCTCTCTCTATATATGTATATATAAAAAAAATTCAGTGCACTTTGTTAACTTCACCATTTTGCCACAATTAAAAGTTGTTACAGACCACAACCAATAAAATTATAACATTTTTCTTCACTGAATGGCCACAGAACAATCACATGAAAGAGGCACAAATGCTATCAAGTACTACCACTTGCACAGTAATGTCAAAAAATTTCAGGCAAAATGACCGATCTGTGCACAAAATAATTTTGTTACTTTTGCCTTATCTGAACAATAAGATAGTAACACAATCTGCCCTGCAACTAGGTAACAAGAGTCAAGGCTTTCACGTAGTCATCATAATATCTGCAAAGTTCTATCAGAAATTCCACTGTAGGTTCCAAAACTAAACCTGCAGATGGAATCAGGAACTCCTGGGCACAGGACCATGCAAGCCAGCTCTGGGTTACTAAACAAGTCTGTGGATATATACAGAATCTAGGAGTCCTGCTGGGCTGACAACTGTGTATGCACATTAGCCTGCACATGGGCAACTACACAGGGAACATGTGGTTTACTCGGATACTGCTCCAGAGGTGGAGAGGTGGTCTGCTTTTTCTCCCCGTGCGTAACGCTCCCACATCCGGGAGTACAGTTGCTCCATGCCGACTGCATACTGTTTGCAATCAAACAGTGGTGAATCTGTGCGAGCTCGCCATACTTTGACACGGATTGCTTTCAAACTGTGAATAGAATATATCTGTCAGTACATATTCCTCCATGCAAATTATAGCTTCATGTACACAAGATTTCATACAAGGCAGGTACTTACTATTCACGGTCAGTGCCCAGTCGAATTGCAATATCTTGATATTCATTCCGGGTCCTTGCAATCAATTCTGGGCAACCCAATGTAGCCAGCTGAGATGCAGCAACACGTGATGCAAGAGTTTCTCCTGTAAAAGATAGAGGAAATGTCAGGTTTGCCCTAGTCCACAGTTTTATTTATGCATCTTCTGATTTGCTATTAACCATAATGTGACTGAATATTTCATTTTTCTTCATATTGCCTTAGTACAATTTCAATGTTAGCTAATAACAACATTAACTTATGAAGTTCTCATGCTACAGCAATATTTCCAAAAATATCAAAAACTATGATCGTTTAAGGATAAATGTATTGACCGATTTGTTACCACCACATAGCAGCACTAAAATAAGCCAAAATTACTTTACATCTGAACAAATGGCCTGATTTTCAATCAGCAAATGGTATTTGATTAGTATTTAATATAGAATTTATACTATGAAGACCCTTTGAGGGAAAATATATATTGAATTTTTTCCTGGAATAGCTCCGGGAAGAAAATTGAAAATCTGAGCTTATAACGTGATTGTGAATTGCTTTCTGAATACAACGCAGTATCACATCCACATCGGATGAATAGGCATGTTGTAATGTGAAATTTGGCAAAATATAACGCCCCCCTTCCCCTTGCATGGGTACTTGTTCTGGGCAGCTGCAGGGGGCCAGAAGTACGAAGTAGACAAAGCGAGGCAGGCGGTTCTCTTGTGCCATGACTGTATCGTCAGTTGATGCTTTTGCAATTTTTTGCACCACAACATTAGTTGTACTTTCTAACATGCATATGAAGAAACATGAGTGATCTATACATATACCAGAGAAAGTATAATGCTGCGGAAAAT